GTCTTGATCATGTCTACATGCCTAAATGTGCTGAGTTGCTGCCATGTGATTGGCTGATTAGAAATTTGTGTTAACGAGCAGTTGAACGAGTATATATAAATATATATATATATATAAATATATATATATATATATATATATATATATATATATATATATATATATATATATATATATATATATATATACAACAGTTCTGTCTGGCTTTCAAATCTGATTGGCTGATAGCCATGTGTGCGATATTCTGCAATATCAGAACTCCTACAGCCTCTTTACCCTTTGTGTATTACTCCGCCCACATACAGCCAGCAAAAAGCAGACACTACAGTTCTAAAGTTTAAAAGATGCACGCTCAGCGGTTTAACTGTCAGCTTATGATTTGACTCTCCATGTTTGATTTTGTTTTTATATACACAATTATACCGTCAAACTGTTGTATAAACGCAATATCACACTCGTAGCAGTGCGATATGGCTGTATATCAGCACTGGTGGGGGCACTAAGGCCAACGCACACCTCCCACCAGTGCCGATATACAGCCATATCGCATATACATATATATATATAAAGGCACCACCTTTGTTATTTAGATTAATAAAAAGGCAAGAGATTTATGATTATTTTCATTATTGTAAGTTAAATTTGATATATTTACTATAAATGCATTTTAGATTTCTTGATTTTATTTTGGTGTTTACATATTAATAGGATGCACTGTATGTTAATTATTTTACTTATTATAATTTACGGATATTTGAATTAATGGGTGACGTGGGGGTGCAGTAGGTAGAGCTGTCACCTCACAGAAAGAAGGTCGCTGGTTCGAACATCAGATGGGTCAATTGGCAATTGTGTGTGGAGTTTGGTTGTTCTCTCCGTGTTCGCATGGGTTTCCTCCGGGTGCTCCGGTTTTCTCCCACAAGTCTAAAGACATGAGGTGCAGATGAATTGGGTAAGCTAAAATTGTCCCTAGTGTATGTGTGTGAATGAGAGTGTATGGATGTTTCCCAGTACTTGGTTGCACCTGGAAGGGCATCCTATGTGCAAAACATATGCTGGATAAGTTGGCGGTTCATTCCGCTGTGGCGACCCCAGATTAATGAAGCGACTTAGTCGAAAAAGAAAATGAATGAATGAAAGAATGATAATTTAATGTTCTTTATTTGATGTAGTCGGTTATTTTTTTTAGTTTTGTTATGTTTTCATTTCATTCATATTCCTTCGGCTGATCTCCCTTATTTATCAGGGGACGCGACAGCAGAATGAACCACCAACTATTCCAGCATATGTTTTATGCAGCGTATGCTTCAGCTGTAACCCAGCACTGGGAAACACCCATACACATTCATACTACGGCCAGTTTATTTCATCAATTCCCCTTTAGCGTAGGTGTTTGGACTGTGGGGGAAACCGGAGCACCCAGAGCAAACCCATGTCAACACGAGGAGAACATACAAACTCCACACAGAAATGTCAATTGGCTCAGTCGGGACTCAAACCAGCGACCTTCTTGCTGTGAGGCGACGGTGCTAATTTTTTAAATTATTGTGAAACACAGAACAATAATATTTATCTCTCTCTCTCTCCATCAGGTGTGTTGTTCTCAGAGGTCCGCCGTGCGTGTGGCGTGATGGTATTGGTCAATCCTCAGAGTGGGCGTGGCCAGGCCATGGCTCAATACAATGGGCACGTTCAGCGGATGCTCACAGAGGCGGATATCCCACACACACTCGTCATCACCGGTGAGATAAACAACACTTCAGAGGAATGTTATTTTGAAGTGCTATTTTGTAGTGGTTGAACTAGGTATTCTAGGTCAGGGGTTTTCAAAGTGTGAGGCGCGCCTCCCCTGGGGGGCGCCAGAGCATGTCAGGGGAGGCGCGGGAAAAAATATAATATAATAAAAATATAATTGTTAAGTTTAATTATTATATGTATTTTTTATTATATTTAAACGTTTTAATTAAACAAAGCAAAAAAATAATACGTCAAATATAAGAAAACATTTTTTACCCAGAAGGCCATAGCTGTGAATTTGCTTCTGTTTGGCAAGCCCGCCAATACAGGTCTATGCCTGCTAATACAATGGTTCGGTTTCTGAGACCCCCCCCCCCCCCCCCCCCCCCCCCGATTCAAAGCTGTAATGAAGTTCACGGCCCTTTGGCCGCCGGGAAGAAGGAGGCGGAGAACCGATGCAGTTTTTAAATGATTTATTAATAACAGTGACAAGCGGACTGAAAGCAAAAGTAAAATATGTCCGGGCCCGGTCCTCTCTCAGCTTCCTCTGCCCTCGTTCCTCCTTTTATGATCCAGAGCTCCTTCCGTGGGATCCGAGGCAGGTGCGCACCGCAGGTGTATCCACTAACGCGGTGGCCTCACTCCGTTCCCACGGCTCTCGGCCACGCCCCCTCGCCACAAAAGCCTTTAAGTTCAGGGCTTAAACCCAAAAGACGCAGATATGATGATCAGTATTTGAGTTTAGGATTTACGTGGACAGGACCAGTGTGTGTGTGTGTGTGTGTGTGCGTGTTTGGGAGGAGGGGGGCGCCAATGAAAAAGTTGTGTGAAAAGGGAGGCCCACTGTCTTAGACTTTGAAAAACCCTGTTCTAGGTAGTCCAAAATATTGGAGAGGGTTTTTCCACATGTTGGTCATAAACGCAGGTTGCCAAATTGACGACACAATCACGAGTGAGCATAACCTGCATTTTTAAGATTTCGGTTTTGTTTCTGTCAGCTTTGTGTTTTTGACTGTTTGGTGCTATCTTATGTCTGAATAATGCGCAGGTTAGTGTATACTCCATCAGCTGTTTCCGTTTCTGTCAGCTTTGTGTTTTTGACTGTTTGGTGCCATCTTGTGTCTGAACAATATGCAGGTTAGTGTATACTCCATCAGCTGTTGTAGTTTCTCTCAGCTTTGTGTTTTAGACTGAATGGCGCCATCTTGTGTCTGAATAATACACAGGTTAGTGTATACTCCATCAGCTGTTGTAGTTTCTCTCAGCTTTGTGTTTTAGACTGAATGGCGCCATCTTGTGTCTGAATAATGCGCAGGTTAGTGTATACTCCATCAGCTGTATTCGGTTCTGTCAGCTTTGTGTTTTTGACTGTTTGGTACCATCTTATGTCTGAATAATGCGCAGGTTAGTGTATACTCCATCAGCTGTTTTAGTTTCTGTCAGCTTTGTGTTTTAGACTGTTTGGCGCCATCTTGTGTCTGAATAATGCACAGGTTAGTGTATACTCCATCAGCTGTTGTAGTTTCTCTCAGTGTTGCATCTTTTGACTGTGTGTCTCCATCTTGTGTCTGAACAATGCGCAGGTTAGTGTATACTCCATCAGCTGTTTTCGTTTCTGTCAGCTTTACATTTTTGACTGTTTGGCGCTATCTTATGTCTGAATAATGCGCAGGTTAGTGTATACTCCATCAGCTGTTTTAGTTTCTGTCAGCTTTGTGTTTTTGACTGTTTGGTGCCATCTTGTGTCTGAACAATGTGCACGTTAGTGTATACTCCATCAGCTGTTGTAGTTTCTCTCAGCTTTGTGTTTTAGACTGAATGGCGCCATCTTGTGTCTGAATAATGTGCAGGTTAGTGTATACTCCATCAGCAGTTTTCATTTCTGTCAGCTTTGTGTTTAACTGTTTGGTGCCATCTTGTTGTCTGAATAATGCGCAGGTTAGTGTATACTCCATCAGCTGTTTTCGGTTCTGTCAGCTTTGTGTTTTTGACTGTTTGGTACCATCTTATGTCTGAATAATGCACAGGTTATTGTATACTCCATCAGCTGTTTTAGTTTCTGTCAGCTTTGTGTTTTTGACTGTTTGGCGCCATCTTGTGTCTGAATAATGTGCAGGTTAGTGTATACTCCATCAGCTGTTTTCATTTCTGTCAGCTTTGTATTTTAGACTGTTTGGCGCCATCTTGTGTCTGAATAATGCGCAGGTTAGTGTATACTCCATCAGCTGTTGTAGTTTCTCTCAGTGTTGCATCTTTTGACTGTTTGTCTCCATCTTGTGTCTGAACAATGCGCAGGTTAGTGTATACTCCATCAGCTGTTTTTATTTCTGTCAGCTTTGTGTTTTTTGACTGTTTGGCGCCATCTTGTGTCTGAATAATGCGCAGGTTAGTGTATACTTCAGCTGTTTTCATTTCTGTCAGCTTTGTGTTTTAGACTGTTTGGCGCCATCTTATGTCTGAATAATGCGCAGGTTAGTGTATACTCCATCAGCTGTTGTAGTTTCTCTCAGTGTTGCATCTTTTGACTGTTTGTCTCCATCTTGTGTCTGAACAATGCGCAGGTTAGTGTATACTCCATCAGCTGTTTTTATTTCTGTCAGCTTTGTGTTTTTTGACTGTTTGGTACCATCTTATGTCTGAATAATGAGCTGTTTTAGTTTCTGTCAGCTTTGCTTTTGATTAACGAAATATACGATTACGACCCAGAACAATGTTTTGAATCTAATTGTTATGTTTTGAAACAAGTGGCTATAAGCAGGATAAAGTACATCCAGGATGGTTGTTATTAACAACATGTCCAGTACTGTAAAGTGTTACCGAAATATATTTACCGCAACACTCACAATGCCACATAGCGCATTTTTTCTAAGCATCATTCAGCACTAGTTCATAGACAAACAGATCCGCTTTAGAGTCAGATGATGAACTCAGAATCACCTCAGACAGACAGACAGTATCTGAGTGATGTATGACTGCAGGATGCTGAATGATGGATCTATTTATACACACATCAGTCAATCTGCAGCGTGTTTGTGCAGATATAGACGTGTGTTTGAGCATCAGCAGTGCAGAAATCTCAGTGATATGCAGTTGAATGATAGAAATATACATTTCATTTTAATTATTTGTCAATTTGTATACATTAACACATTTTAAAACAATAGTAATAATAATAACTCGTTTCATTAGTTTTTGCCATGATGATAGTGCATAATGTTTTACTAGTTACTAAGAAAAATACTAGTATTGAGCTTACAGTGACA